TACTACAACATGTTTTTATCTATTTGTAGCACAGATGGTGAAGTTGCTGCGAAAAGATGGTCCTGTTGAAATCACATTTTTCTCGACGAGGGGACTAGTTTCGAGGACTTACCGTAGATGTCGCATTTTGACCAGTTTTATCTCTTGCAATCAGTTGCATCCCCTCCTTAGCAGAGGGTACTCCCAGTACTATTCCAGTTTTCCTGCGAAAAGACAGTCCTGTTGAAATCACATTTTTCTCCATGAGGGTACTAGGTTGAGTTTCTAGGACTTACAGTAGATGTCGCATTTTGACCTGTTTTAACTCTTGCAATCAGTTGCATCCCTTTAGCAGGGGGCTGCTCCCAGTATTATTCCAGTTTTTCTTAGGGGGGAGGGGTGTCAAACAACCAGACAACCAACCAACCAACCAACCAACCGAACATCCAACCGACCAACCAATGACCAAATAGGCTTAATCTATTAACCAACTTACTAACCAACCAACTAACCAACCAGACAACCACCAGACCACCCAATAGGTTAAAACTAACCAACCAACTTATTAATCAACCAACTAACCAACACTCCATCCAACGAACCAAACAACCAACGAACCAGACAACCAACGAACCAGATGACCAAGATCATGGATCTAGTGCTTAATATTGTATTGTATTGTATTGTATTGTATTGTATAGTTTTGTATTGTTTTGTATTGTATTGTTTTGTATTGTTTTGTATTTCATTGACCAATACTTACTCAGTAATGATTCAATTTTAAAGTTGACTTCAAGTACTACTCCAGATCTAAATTTTGAAGGTCTGAAGTCTTCTGTTCATTTTAGCTACGCAGTTGTAGATTGAAAGGTCTTTTCTTTTGGGTTTTCATGTTAAAATTGTGGGTTTAGTTTCGGGGTTTTCTTTCTTTTTAATTGAACCATCGCTGATCTTTTCCTTAAATGTACTTTCAGGTGCAGTCTTCTTGCCTTGGAGAGAACAAAACGAACCACAAAGGGAAAACCACAGAGAATCTACAATTTGTCCTATCTGCAGCATTTGTATCTAAATACCTCTTGCCTTGGAGAAAACAAAAAGAAGCACAAAAGGAAAACCACAGAGAATCTACAATTTGTGCTACCATCTTGTTAAAGGTACTGTAACAAATAATCAGTTCTATCATTTGATGATTTTGCTCTCTGGTTCAGTACGGTTATTCCACAACTACACATTTTTCAATTGTTGGGATTCTAATCCCATTGTTGGCACATGTATGTTTGGCAAACGTTTTTTCTAAGAAATACACTAAATGATGACTGCCTTGATTTCACTTAATGTACAAATGTACTGGTCATGAAGTCATGTTTCATTATTTTCACATGTGGTCTGTGATAGTTGCCTGAATCATTCCTACTTCACATTGGGCCAAAGTCAAGATGGCAACTGCTTTGAAAAAAGAAATAACACATTTCAATTTATTCTTAAAGAATATACTCCATTATTCCATTCTTCCTACAGAGTTACATCTGCCCAAGCAGTTAGTTGACTTAATGATATAAATCTTGAGCCGGGAGGGGTACAAGGCTATGACAGATTTACTAGAGTCAATGAAAGGAATGTCTTGGCATTCCCTCCTCCGCTTGTATTGGAAGTGCCTCGACCAAGTTGCATCCTTGTATTTTTCATTTTCTTATCTTCTATCTTTCAGGTACAACTATGAGAGAGATGCAGCGAACACACCAATTTAGGGCGACAGCTGGATCAGTCTTTCGACACCTTTGAGCCATCAGGTCCAGTCCACGTAAACAGTATCATGGACGAGAGGTGTTCGTGTTCCTGTCACCAAAGCACCAAAGTAAGTACATTTTTTTTATTCAATTATTACATCAGTTTAGTTCCTCTGTTTTCAGGTTCACTTTCAGCTTGGAGATGAGGAGCCCGATGACCAACGACGCAACGGAGACAACAGCTGCGTGCCAACTAGGACTACAACCGATGTTCCTGCTACCTAAGTTAAGTATTCCTTCCTGGTTTTGCATAGGGATAGGGGCGCCGCCCAGTTTGATATTCACTGGTGGACTTTTGTTGGCCGACCCATATACTTTGGTGGAGGAACTTGGACTCTAAGGTAAAGAGGGAGGGGGGTGGTTGGGTTTCTGTGGGGATAGAGATCATGTTTCAAAATCAGAAATATGGAAGTCTACTGGTTTATATCAAATTGGGAGAAATAAATTTCAACTTTTGTAATATTCTGTAAATGTTTAGTAGTATAAAGTATATGTAAAGTTTTATTTAAAGTTTTCTGAAAAATAACAACTACTACAACATGTTTTTATCTATTTGTAGCACAGATGGTGAAGTTCCTGCGAAAAGATGGTCCTGTTGAAATCACATTTTTCTCGACGAGGGGACTAGTTTCGAGGACTTACCGTAGATGTCGCATTTTGACCAGTTTTATCTCTTGCAATCAGTTGCATACTCTCCTTAGCAGAGCGCTACTCCCAGTACTATTCCAGTTTTCCTGCGAAAAGACAGTCCTGTTGAAATCACATTTTTCTCCATGAGGGTACTAGGTTGAGTTTCCAGGACTTACAGTAGATGTCACATTTTGACCTGTTTTAACTCTTGCAATCAGTTGCATCCCTTTAGCAGGGGGCTGCTCCCAGTATTATACCAGTTTTTCTTAGGGGGGAGGGGTGTCAAACAACCAGACAACCAACCAACCAACCGGACATCCAACCGACCAACTAATGACCAAATAAGGCTTAATCTATTAACCAACTTACTAACCAACCAACTAACCAACCAGACAACCACCAGACCACCCAATAGGTTAAAACTAACCAACCAACTAACTTATTAATCAACCAAATAACCAACACTGCATCCAACGAACCAAACAACCAACGAACCAGACAACCAACGAACCAGATGACCAAGATCATGGATCTAGTGCTTAGTATTGTATTGTATTGTATTGTATAGTTTTGTATTGTTTTGTATTGTATTGTATTGTATTGTATTGTATTTCGTTGACCAATACTTACTCAGTAATGATTCAATTTTAAAGTTGACTTCAAGTACTACTCCAGATCTAAATTTTGAAGGTCTGAAGTCTTCTGTTCATTTTAGCTACAGTTGTAGATTGAAGGGTCTTTTCTTTTGGGTTTTCATGTTAAAATTGTGGGCTTAGTTTTGGGGTTTTCTTTCTTTTTAATTGAACCATCGCTGATCTTTTCCTTAAATGTACTTTCAGGTGCAGTCTTCTTGCCTTGGAGAGAACAAAAAGAAACACAAAAGGAAAACCACAGAGAATCTACAATATTTGTGCTACCTATCTGCAGCATTTATATACCATCTTGCTAAAGGTACTGTAACACATAATCAGTTCTATCATTTGATGATTTTGGTCTCTGGTTCAGTACGGTTATTCCACAACGAGATTCTATTTCCATTGTTGGCACATGTACATATGTATGTCTGGCAAACATTTTTTGGTGTGTGATATTGTTCTTCGTACTAATTTTTATTCAATTCAGGCAGAGTTAGTTTATTAACCATTAATTTTGTATAAGAAACGGTGGACATTTTTAAGTGTATTGATAATACATTTTCCAAATTTGTTTTTTTTTTGTTCATAGTGTTTGGTTAAATGTTAAATTGGCCTCTGGCGGTCGTTAGGATGACATTTTGCACATTAATGGCTTGTTTGCTTATGTGATGAGTAAAACACTCATCTCTAAAAAGTAGAATTAATGCTGATATCCCCCATTTCATGTAATTTCAGTTGTGCGATCCATGCCTTGGAGAGAACAATATTATCATACTCTCTGTAACGCTACCTAAACTACTACGGTGGTGGAATTAACTGGCGATTCATGTTGTCTGCAATCCTTACATTGTATGTTGGAGAGACCAGCATTATCGTACTCTTCTGTGGCACTCCTTATGACTGTTACCTAGACTACAATAGTGAAGGAACTTAGATATGGACTGTGTTCACATATTGTGTGCAATCCTTATTTTAGAGAAAATATTATCACTCTGGCATCTAAACAAAAATGGTGATGTAACATAGTTATTGACCGCAATTATATATTTTGCGAACAACATTATGATACTCTTGTGTGGCACCACTAATGACTCTGTTGCCTAGACCAAATTGGTGTTAGGTCGAATTTATTTATGGACTGCGATTACGTATGGTGTGCAAATCTTACCATAGAGAGAGAGAGAGTGACATTATCATAATCTTGTGTGTACCAGTAATGAATCTGTTACCTAGAATGAACTGCAATAAGCGAATTACATATTGTGTGCAATCCTTACTTTAGAGAGAGAGCAACATTATCATACTCTTGTATTCACCACTAATGGCTCTGTTACCTAGACTATATAATGGTGGAAGAACTTAGTTATGGACCCCTATTTCATATTGTGTGTAATTCTTACCTTGGAGAGAACAACATTATTCCACCCTTGTGTTTCATTTCATGTTATATTTATTCATAATTCATAACTAAAAACCATTATAGGCTAGCTTTTACTTTTATCAATTAAAAAAAAAATGGTATAAAACGATCAATATGACTATGTGACTACACACTTTACATGATCGCTGACTGGAGGATATTTTAAGAGTAAAATCATGCCTTTAATGGTTACAAAAGCAATTTATTTAAAGAAATTCTTTTAGAATTGTGTCTTCTTCGATACTTCAATCATTACCAAAAATATAAAAGTCAAGTTTGTCTTGGTTGGTTCTAGGTTAACTCTTGTGTGGTACCACTAATGACTAATAATGTACCTAGACCATAATGGGGTGGAACTTAGTTATGGACCGCGTTTACATATTGTGTGAATTTGGAAACTAAGAAATAGTAAATCTATAACTAATAATGTATGTATTCCTGTTAGTGCCATTGTATATTATGCCAAATAGGTATAAATGTTTTAATTTAGTGAATAAAGTTTATTACAAAAAAAAATATTGTGTGCCATTCTTACCTTAAAGTCTCCGATAAATCGGGCTACGTATACCGCCGTGTTTACATTAGGGGATTAGAAGAGTTTATTTTTTATTTAGGTATGCAAGCAACGTATATCAATATTAGGCCTTCATTCATGTACTCGTGTGCATGTAATCAGCATGCCCTTCAATATTATGTAAACCAGGCTATTCAAGTACTGTATAATTGACATTTATGTGCGTTTGAGCGCAGCGACATAAGCTCATAAATGATTTCTTTAGGCGTCGTGTTAATGGAACAGGTGTTCGAGTTGACAATGAGTTGTTTTGCATGAGTGTATGTTGGAACGGAGTGTAACTTCATTCTGAGCTTAGCCACACGTAACACGAGACAGTTCATTTTATGTTATAACAAACTGGACACTTATCATGGAGGAAGCAACTCTCCTTCAAGTTAAGGAACTTTTGAAAGACTCCTTTACTTCCTTCAAAAGAGAACTCAAGGAAGAAACAGAGACACAGTCTACAAAACTGTTCAAGAAATTTCGAGCGGACAGTAACGACAACATTGACTTGAAGAACCGCGGAAATCGTAAGCAGCATGAATTCAACATCCAGGTCGCTAATAGCATTGAAGAGGCAGCTGAATATCTCAAGAGGGCGGAACAAGCCACAGATTTTGAAAAACAACAACAGCTTCTAGATGAGGTCAAGCGCTGCAATACTGAAGGTATATCTTTGTTACATAAACGCAATAAATTAATACGTTTGGCAGATGGGTCTGAAACGGGTTGGCTTGCTGTCGATGAATATGAACAAAAACCAATCGCTTCAGATAGCGAAGATGATAAACGCCTTAAGCAATCTGATAGAGAAGCTGCTCGTAAACTTAAATCACGCAAAGCAAAATCTGGCGGTAGATATTCATATTTCAGGTACGGTAGAGGCGGCTTCAGAGGCGGCAGAGGGTCGTCCACTCCTCCTAATACCGAGAGCAACCAGTGGCAGCAAGGTGCAGGAGGCGGCAATGGGTTCAAGCGTACGCCAAAGCCATCAGACATCTGTTTCAGATGCGGCCAAACGGGGCACTGGAGTTACATGTGTTCCAGATTTTCCGGCAACGGGTCCGATAGCAGGCTCAACAAGCAAAATTGATCGTCAAAACAAGTTAAGTAACGCTCAAAGTGTAAATTTTGAATGTAAAGATGATGATCTGGTTAGATTAGGTGATAAGTTTCTTGTAAAAGACAATTTAAAACGTAGCGCAGAATTTTGGGAAAAAGAATTACATGCAAACGTGTACGTGCTAGACGTTGTAAAATTTGGCTATAAAATACCGTTCATTCAAACTCCGCCTTCTATGTTTCTAGACAATAACAAATCTGCTTATGACAATGCCATGTTTGTAGGTGAAGCCATCAGAGATTTGGTTCTTTTAGGTTGTGCCAAGGAACAGTTCGAAGTACCTTACGTGGTAAACCCATTGACAGTGGCAACAAATGCAGTTGGTAAGAAACGTCTGGTACTAGATTTACGTCATCCCAATCTTTATATTTGGAGTGAAAAGGTTCGGTATGAAGATTTGTCTATTGCCAAGAATTATTTGAAAAAGGGCGTGGTTCTGAACAGTTTTGACATACGTAGCGGATACCACCACATTTCTGTATTTGAGCCACATCAAAAGTATTTGGGATTTTCCTGGTTTTTTCAAGGTGTGAGGCGTTATTTCACATTCACTGTTGTTCCGTTCGGTATCAAGACGGGTGGATTGATTTTCACAAAAGTCATGAAAACATTGGTTTCACATTGGAGAGTTCTAGGTCTCAACATAGTAGTATTCCTCGATGATGCTTTAATTATAAGCGAAAACACGACAAAGGCCATACAAAATGTCAAACAGGTCAAGTCAGATCTCGTTCAAGCAGGGTATGTCGTAAACGAAGAAAAGTCAATATTTTCTTGCGTAGAAGAGCTCGTTTGGCTAGGATTTCGTTTGAATATGAAGCAAGGTAGCATTTCAGTTCCGGAAGAAAAATTGCATCGTCTCAGAGAAGTGATTTCTGGCATTTTACGAAAATCCAACGTTACTTTTAGGTCGTTAGCCAAGGTAGTAGGGATGATTCAATCTATGATACCCGGAATGGGTCGTATTTGTCAGCTTATGACCAAACGATTGAATGTCAAGTTAGCCACAGTCATTAGTTGGGATAGTTTCACGTTTTTGTCGACAGAAGAGAGGAATGAATTGTGTTTTTGGCTTAATAACATGGAAAGTGTGAATTCCGTTTTGTTGCAAGAACAGGTTCCCCCACAAAAACTTGTATTCTCAGATGCATCTAATACAGGCGGTGCTGGTTTCGTTGTTGGATTGAATGGTCAACCATCTTACAAGTCATGGACAAGTTTGGAAAAAACTAAAAGTTCCACATGGAGAGAAATGAAAACGGTAGAAATAGTTTTGAATTCGTACTCATCAAAATTGCAAGGAAAATCCGTAATGTGGTTCTCGGATAATCAAAACGTTTCTATTATAGTCCAAAAGGGTAGTATGGTTCCAGAGTTGCAAGACATTGCAGTTTCTGTTTTCGAACAATGTCGAAAATTCAACATTAATTTACAGGTTCAGTGGATCCCAAGGGAATTGAATTTTGAGGCAGATGCGTTGAGTAAAATCATTGATGCTGATGACTGGTGTGTACGTTCAGAAATATTCCAATTTCTTGACCGACGTTATGGTAGGCATACAATTGACCGTTTTGCCAGTTTCGAAAATTGCCAAACAGAAAGGTTCAATTCAAAGTTTGCTCAGCCTGGTTCAGAAGGGATAGATGCTTTTTCGTTTGATTGGGGAGATGATAACAATTGGCTCGTTCCTCCAGTTTCGGAGATTGGCAAATGTATTAAACATCTGGTAGCTTGCAAGGCAATGGGCACAATTGTCGTTCCAAAATGGCCGTCTTCATATTTCTGGCCTATGTTGTGCGTCAATGGAACATATAGGAGTTTCGTGTTGGATTGGATAGAGTATGGTAATTCTTGTAAAGTGTTTCAAAAGGGAAATTTCAAAAATACCATATTTGGTACAGAAAAGTTGACTTCACACGTTTTGGTCTTACGTTTAGACGGTAGTAGAGGTTAGGCTAATTCAAGCAATTTTGTGAACCAGATCAGCATTTAACTTCACCGAGCCTGATCATTTTCGTTTTGTATTAGATAGTTTGTTTGATTTGAACACGTGTTGCGATGTCTTGTATGGTATTTGACCAGTAATTTATTTTCTATTTTCATCAGGTTTTGTATATGGTTGTCGCAAGTGAAGTTGATTTAATCACCCCGTGTTGTGTAACGCCTCGTATGATGTCTCGACTGGTGACATTATTTTATACACCCCGTGTGGTGAAACACTTAGTATGGTGTTTTTCAGAGTAATATTGTTTTAAACACCCCGTGTGGTGTGACACCTCGTACGGTGTTTTGGTGAGTGATACAGTTTTAAACACCCCGTGTGGTGTAACGCCTCGTATGGTGTTTTGGTGAGTGATACTGTTTTAAACACCCCGTGTGGTATAACACCTCGTAAGGTGTTTTGGTGAGTGATACAGTTTTAAACACCCCGTGTGGTGTAACGCCTTGTATGGTGTTTTGGTGAGTGATACAGTTTAAAACGCCCCGTATGGTGTGTGTTTTGGTAGTTAGTTTCTGTAGTTAGTTTCATCCTTTATGGTTTAGTATCTCGTACGGTATTTTGTTTGAGATCAACATATTTTAGTACATTCACGTGTGGTGTAACATCTCGTACGTTGTTTTGCATTTGGAATTTGTCACATCATTGTACGTCGTAGGTTTCATTCGTTATTAACAATATTTTAATATTTTCAGCAACCACATTTAGACTTGCAGCGAATTCATTTATTTTAGATATTTGTTGGAAGACGAGTCCCGATATGCATTACTTTTACGAAATGTACGCACAGGTATCGATTACTATTACAGGAGGAAGGCGAATGTATAAGCTCCATTCTATTTGTTTAACGTTGTTTTAATACTATTACTGGATGTATTTCCAGGCTGGTAGAACATGGTGTTAGGAATTTGGGAGAAATAAAGGACACAACGCTGAAATCGTTAGCCAATGATCTGGTGTCGACAATCGTACATACAGTGTAGTTCTAAAAGTGACAACACTGTCAAGAAATACGCATTTTATTTTAGCAAGTGGCAATCGTGGACAAGGTCTTATCCAGAAATTAAAGACTTGCCAGCAGAGCCTAAGTACATTGCTTTAGATATATTTTCTCTGTTACAAGGCGGATCTTCTTATCACGTTATGAGTTCGGTAAAGGCAGGAATAACATGGGCACACAAGGTTGCTGGGTTCTCTGATCCCTGTGATAATCAAGTGGTCACGAACATTTTAGACGCTTCAAAGAGGAAAATTAGCCAACCCGTAGTTAAAAAGGAGCCATTCACACCAGAAATTATTTCTGAGTTGGTTTCTTTTCATAGCAAAAACTTCAGCTTGAAATCTTTAAGGGACATTACAATGATTGTCATAGCTTATGCTGCATTTCTACGTTACGACGAACTTTCCAAAATAACCTACGGTGATGTAACGTTCCACGGAGAATACCTCAGTATACGAATTCCTTCTTCCAAGACTGATGTGTATAGGGACGGTTCCACTGTTGTGATTGCTAAGACGGGTAATATTACCTGTCCATATACTCTACTGGAAAAATTTATGAACTTATCGAAGGAAAGTGCTCAATTTTCGGTTGTAGACACTGACATTGTATTTAGAGGTTTATCTTTCAAAAAAGGTCAACATGTGATCAGGTCAAGCAACAACAAGTTATCTTACACTAGAATTAGAGAAATTGTAAGAGACTGTCTCAAGGCAATTAATGTTAATCCCAAACTTTTCGGTGTGCATTCTCTTCGCTCTGGAGGAGCAACAGCAGCTGCTAATAACTCTGTGTCTGATAGAAATTTTAAGCGTCACGGTAGATGGAAGAGTGATTCTGCCAAAGATGGTTATGTTAAAGACAGTCTAATAAATAGACTAGGGGTTACAAAACATCTTGGTTTATAATTCATTTAAATCATTATTACAGTATAGTGTCTCACTGTTCAGGTTGTATAGTTTATTGTATTTATTGTAATTACATATACATGTAACATTTTATTTCTCATTTTCCCGTTCTTTAGAATTTTCTGAAAGTGGCAAGCTCACTTCCTTATAATTTGATATCGTTGTTCTGTTGCATCGAGCAAAGCAAAGAATTGACATTTATGTGCGTTTGAGCGCAGCGACATAAGCTCATAAATGATTTCTTTAGGCGTCGTGTTAATGGAACAGGTGTTCGAGTTGACGATGAGTTGTTTTGCATGAGTGTATGTTGGAACGGAGTGTAACTTCATTCTGAGCTTAGCCACACGTAACACGAGACAGTTCATTTTAATTAATTAAATCAAGATTTGGAACATTTACATGTCTTTGATTGATCGCGTACCTTTTCCGCATTAATTTGAGGTTTTTAATGGCCGGGATCAATCAATTTCGATAAATGTAAATTTAGCTGATTCGTCAAGTCTTCACGATTTCATTCAACGCTATTTCATGCTATTAAGTGAATCATGTAATAGGGCTACGTTTAGATCTTCAGTATCGTTACCTGCGTTTTTACTTAATGTGACTTATATTTTCCATGTTCATAATACCATGCTGTACTTTTGCAATAAATGAAAGTGGCAAGCTCACTTCCTTATAATTTGATATCGTTGTTCTGTTGCATCGAGCAAAGCAAAGAATGTACACTATTTATGTGTGTACACAATACAATTCCCTGGGAAACAAAACACAAATACTTTTTATATGTTCAAAATAAGCCATTTGATTGATGCAAACACTAAATAGCTTCATAAATAACATCTACAAAGTATATCTAATAGTAATTTTCAATTTCAATGGTGAAACTTCCCTGGTTACGATTATATGGGAAATCATCATGAGACGAAGATCGTTCGCCTTCCTGGCTTACCTCTGAATCGTGTACCCGGTAATCTCTTTATATAGTTTAGCGAGAGCGGTGCGCCTGCGCAGTTTTAAACTTTGGCGCACACTTTAAAGAGAACAACAATATCGTACTCTTCTGTGGCACCACCAATGGCTCTATTGTGTGATGGACTGTGATTGCATATTGTGTGTTCAAAAATTGCGATCTAACATATACCAATGACCATATATGTATGTTTGTGTTTACTTTTATGGAATATCTGTATTACAAAAATGTTCCGACTTGCTTCTTAATATGTTGAAATGTTTCAAGTTTCTTCTTAATATGTTGAAATGTTTCAAGTTTCTGCAGTTTATGCAATTATAGTTAAAACATCATTTACTTAAATCCATAAAATAACTTAAATAATTGGCCAAAACCATTGTCCTATAGTATCCAAGACTCAATCTGCTAAAAGGTGGCATAAGATGATTTAGTTTTTTGTGTCAGTTGTGATTTACTCGCATGTACACGCTCTAACGCGCTGATGTACATATCTTATCGGATTCCAATGCTCTGTTAATATGTTGAAGATCGATCAAAAGATGTCTGGTTCAAATTATCACTGATTATGTCCGACATCGGGTTTGTAGAAAAAACCGGGTACCAGTGTGAAAGAAATGATGGTCCCCCAGGGATTATGGTCCCCTTTCTTACCCGGGTAGTCCTCCGGCAACCAGGTAATCCTCCATTCTGGGTTCAAACTTGGTACCCGGTCGAAAAAACCGGGTACCCCAAAAAACGAAAAATACGAATATAGAACATAATTAGATCATTAGAAAATGTGTAAGATTTGTTTTGAATTTACAAAAATGTATGCAACTTCCTTCAAAATTGAGCTGGAAGCTTCAAATAAAAAGCATTTTAAGGCTCTTCCTCAATCATCATGGTCATATTTTCATTGGTTATGGGGGAGGGGGATCAAACCCCCTCCTGGCTACGCCTATGACATTGTAAGGCGATTTGAAAAACATCAATCTTACTCTATTTTCAATAGTTCGTATGTTGGTACGTGAATTCATATGGTTTAAATCTGTAAATACCTATCGTTACTTTAGCAAAGAGGTGACGTGTGTTAATTTACATGATGCAACGTGTAAGATTTTGATTATTGACATTAATATAGAGAAAGGTATATATATTTATTTCAAATTATAGTTTTACCATTCAAAAGATGAAATGAAAAAAACTGATAATTAAAGGTACAAGTGGTATCAGACATACATTGATACAGAGCAACTATGGCAAAACAGCATTTGAAGATTTTTCTCCTCAAAAAAAAATCTGGACATCAACAATTATTATTTTTATAGCATACATGTACGAAGTGATCATATTCCTTTTTTAGATATTTCTGAATAGCAGATTGGTTTGAAAATCATAATTGCTGTAACAGGTATCAGATGTTTCAGCAAATAATATATTTCATGAAATGTGACACTGATTCTTGACAAACAAGTTGTTTACAGATTTAAACGAAGATAACAAGCCCTCTAGGGTTATGCCATATGTTCCAGATGTGAACTAATGAGGAACTCAAAACGTGTCTTATGACAGTCATACTGTAATTACCTGCTTTCTAATATAATATAATACTAGACACTCTGAGTGTTTGTAAGTTACTAGATATCCATTATGCAAACATAATCATCACAATAACAAAGAGCTCATCTCTTTAAGTAATTACTGCCTCTTTACCCTCTTGAACTGGACAGCTAAGGACAATTGTAGTTGATGTTTAGAACACATCTTACGAAACAGTAAATCTCTCTTATATGAAAACTTTTCCAGTTTTTAACTAATCCAGTTTATGTGAACACTACTGTGGTAAAATATATTTAATGTGAACACTTCTCTAATTATGAACACTGTCTAATATGAGAATATCTTCAGTAAAATTGTCCATTGTGAACACATGAACAGATAAAGCTGTCTTATGTGCAGCAAACTTCTTCATGTACATTATAACAACCTGGAGTTTTTGTGTTCACATTCACAGACTTATTCTGTATCTCCATAAATATGGCACTAATTATCAAAAATGTCTTTTGAAATAGAAAAACTGAAAGTGTGCACTGCATGAATGATTTTACACATGAGGCTATCATTATTACAACTGTCCTAACGGTCAAACACATATTTCTAAGGACAAGTCCTGAAAACCTCCAATAAGCTTCAATTAGCATGTGAACAGACATCATGTGTCTCTTTGAATCATGTAGAAAGTAAATCAGGTTCTCAACCCCTGCTTGATTTGCCTTTATATCTAGGCTCAGTTTATGACGTATCCATAGTAACCAAATCTTCTTCATCCTCGAGGTCCTGGTCAAAATCCCACAAATCATGGATACAGGACACTGAAATAACAATAAACGAAATTGTTTAAAAGATACAGACAATATAAAACACCTATTAATGTCAAATACAATGACAGACATGCAATACAAATTACTTAATGCCAAGCACAATGTCAGACACTTAATATAAGATACCTATTGATGTGAAAAGGAAAAATACAATTAAAGAATATAAAATGATGAGATGCCAAACCCATTTTTAACTGGGAATTCCACAACTTTATCTTGCATTGTATGAACGCAGGGACTAAATCACACTACAGGGTGGGCCAAAAATGGCCAAACATTACAGACAAATGTATAAATCATATATCATTGGAAAGACAATTCAATTTCCAACAAAACGGTATATTATTCATTCAATATAAATGAGTATTTGTTTTAAACTTTAGCATGCTGCCTTATTTCAGCAAATATATCGTATGCGACTGGCTTATTCTTCAAAGAGTGCAAAAAATGATATGCCTGGACTAAATAATTAATATCTCAATAACAACTGAATGAATCTTTTGTAAATAAACATGACTGGGCATAAATATACCATGAATACTCTTTGGAATCTGCAGCTTCGACCCTGGGAAGATTCAACGTCTAGTCAGAATCCAAAACTGAATTTGCAGCGATCGAATGTTCAACTTTTCAGTTCAGAAAATATTCTACTTTCTATTTTCGATGACCATTATCGCTTCCAAGAGTCTTACGAGCTTGAAATCGCAATCCATTTCCTCCACATTTTCGTTGTGATCGTATTAGGCGGCCATTTTGTATGATTTGTTAACTAAAAAACTCTATTTAAATTGTTGAATTGGGAAATATTTTTCCAAAGATCCTCACTTCCAGGTCAACAGGAAGTCATGTAAGGCACTGAATAAATCGTGAAATCTAATTGGATCATAAGAATAGCAGAAAAAGTAAAGTTTTTAAAAGGATGGATCTGCCGGCAGTCACTAGGGATAGTAAAGCATGGGCAGATAAACTCGCAGGCAGCATGCTAAAGGTTAAAATATCATTTCGATTACCACAGGGGTCAAAATCATGATTTACAAATTACTGAATACATATTGCTAAGAACTGAGCAGACAGATATAATAGTCTATAACCCCTATGTCAGCTTTGGGGATATAATTCTAATTGTAGGTCAAAAAATTGCTAATTTATGAATCAAATGAGAGAAAAATCGATTTACAATTTACAAATGAGTTGTTTTACCATTTTGATAGCTATTGGTAATCTAGCCTAAATAATGTAGTGATGTCTGTCTGTATCAAATAGTTGAATATTTACTGATTTTCAAGAGAATATTTACTAATTTTCAAGAGATTTTGGAAATAATGCCAAAATAAGGCTAGAATTATCATGAAATGGGTAATAATGATGTTGTATTTATATAACTTAACTGACAATTTAAATGGCAGACAATGCAATTATAGACACCAGTAGAGGAAATAATGGAAATTTATTCCATATCATGGGTTATGGAAAAATTTCAAATGAAAATACCATGGTATCACTAATAGCAATTCTTATTTTATGAAACATACATCATTTTGTTGGAAATTGAATTATCTTTCTTATGATATCTAATTTATGGATATTTCCAACATAACAGCAAAAAAATGTGGACGTTTTTTGGCCCACCCTGTACTAAGGGGCAAAAGAGATGCAAACAAAAATTAATCAAAACGCACAACTGGATTAATGCTACAAATCTCAATAAAAGACAAGAACAGCATTTAATATGACTTTAATATCAATACAAATTTTTAATCTCAAGTCAAAGTGCCACAATAAGCACTGAGCAGAATGCTTTACTTAGGGTTGATAGGAATATGACTGATGGGTTTTCATGGGAAGGTTAGGCTAACTATTCAATTACTTAATGTAACACTATTAATCCATTATCTGTGTGCTTTATCTTGCTCGAATGGACAACAGTAACAACTGACATATCTCGGCGACAAAGTGACAAATGACAAAAATTACAAAATCTGACAAGACTTGCCCATTACTGTGCAATAGCAAAAGCAAGTAAACAAAAACAAGAAGGACATCATCATTAAATGATGTAAATATAACGAACATATTGACGCAGATCCGATTTTCTTGCAACAAAGTAAATAAATAGGCTGTTTACAAGAATAATATCCAGTTTCAGGACTTGTAGGTAATCCCAACAAACTACCAAATGTTGGTTTGCAGAACAAAGATATCACACCTTGATATATTCCTGAATGTAAATGGCTTATCTTGGCATAATGTTCTCCTGGTAAATTTTAGCTGTGCAAAGTATTATATATCCCTATTTTTTTGATTTTGATAATTTGCTGCAATTAAGTTTTGCATATGTTCTGTTTACTATTTTTATATTTAGCATTTTGCTATTATACTTTGAGTCTTTTGGCATACAGAAGAATTCATATGATGATCGGTCTATGAGACTTTATATCTTGCTTCTGCCGAAAACTTTGAATGATTGGCTAATGGATTTTTTTGATCTCCCAGAAACAAGACATATCTTATACACTTCCTGCTTATTCTGTTGCATCCGCGTGCATATCAATCTTTGAAGTCTAATATCAATCTTTGAAGCCTAATGTCTTGGATAATATCTGAAATCTAGATCACCCTTATTGAATGGTTTTATAATTAAGAATGAAGGCTCTTCAGACTCGTTTCAAAAGAAAATTCATATTATTGTCTGACAATGATTAATATACCAAGAATGCCAGGATTTCATGAAAATATAAATTGCTGCTGGAACCTTATGTCTAGGCCTATTATTATATTCTGCAGATTTTCAAAGCTCTTGATATGATCAGTAGCACGCAAAAACTACTGAGTACAGTATTCTAATCCCAAATCATTCTTATTTTTCTCATTTTCAGAAGACCATACCCTTTTGATGTGCCATAATATTTCATAATTGTTGCGTAATTTCACTGAGTGCTTAGTGTTTTTTCTTTTTATCAAATTAAGAAAAACATTAAACAAAATTATATTTTTCATCTACTAAAAGGTTCCATTGAACATATGCATTGTGCATTCATCATGTAAGATTTAAAACAAAATTCAGCTTTTAAGCTAAGTGCATTTATAGTAGAACATCCATCTAATATTTATCTCAGAAATGAAATAATATATAGGTGCTCAAAAACCTGGCACATGGTACCTAGTTTAGAACCTACATGTAATTTAAGAGTAATAATAACATAAGGGGATATAAAATCAATAAAAGGGTCTGTGCTTATTAATTATGTCCCTATCATTGAATATATGCCTGATAGTCAGGAATATTTAGGTGAAAATATTTCAAAAATATATAGAAGCAATTTTAAGGTGGATTTCAAAACTTCATACCATTCTTTTGAAAACCTGAAGTGGCACCAAGCAATCCATTGACTTTTTCACCAAAAATCCAAGATGGCCGCCACGATGTATCGAAAAATCATAAAAATTGACTACAGTTGTAATTTAATAAGTCAAAATAGTTGTATACTGATCAAACATGACTAATAATAGTACCTATTAGATGTTCATATGTAGTTAAAGTCACTGGATCATTTTTGTATGAAAACTGGAGTCCAACAAGGCTCAATTTTATGTCCGCTACTTTTTTTGTCTAATGATTTGCATTGACCATGGCATTTGCACATAGCAGTGGACACCTATCCATTTTTGAAATGTAAGCACCCAGGACCACATTTCACCTTGCACCCATACTTGACTAATGCTTGGCATGCCTTGGCTGCTTGAGGAAGGGATGTCAATAGTGGCACCAGTAGAGACATGTCATACTTCCAGCCCCATGTTGTGAACTCCTATACCAATTTTAGATGGAAATTGTACAGTTGCCCCCAAACAATACCACCTTGGTTAGCAAGTTCTTAAGATTTTCTGAGCAAGGCCTACTTTTGTTGGTGGTATTCTGTCAATGACTGTATGGCCGTCACAGAACATTAGCCTTCGTGCTGCATTGATATCTATCTGCTTGCTGGTTCGATCATATAATAGAACAGTAAAACAGTCTAGGGACTGAATGGTCTGAATTTACAAAACCAGGTTGGTTGTAAGCATTTGTGCCACTCTTTTGTAGAAAAGCTGGAGTAACTTCCTTGAACACATTCCATAGCTTGAAGGCAGATCCTTTGCTATGGCCAAAGAATGATGCAGTTAATATAATTTAATATCTGTAATTTTTGAGAGGTTAGAAGGCAATTCAGATTGACACTTATTGGGCCCTAATATTATTATTATATTTTGGTTACCGCCATATTTGGCGAGCAATACCTCATTGGTATATTCTGTACTTTACATATTTTACACTCGAAGACAGAGCCAGAAACCACCTCCTTGGAGGAGCCCTGTGTTCTTTTGTGTGCACAGGTACACAGACATAAAGGTAAACACCACAGCCTTTTATACGAGTCGTGAACCACTCAGTCAAACACCCAGAATTACATGACGCACAAACAAACTTGTCTGAACCGGGAATCGAACCCGGGGCCAAGCGATATTGGTAACCTTGACTCTGCCACTGAGCCATAGCGTGTGGACTAATGCTGCAGCCATGGCAAGAACAACTACATCAGTATCTCCACTTCTGATTATGAAGTCTTTTTTCCCTCTGAGGTCATCTGTTTTACATGAACAAAGAGTTTAGTGTCAACTTCTTCATGAGTACAAGGTTCAATCATTGCTGTATCTGGCAAGTGAGGAAATCACTGAACAGATTCCACAATAGTAGTTATCATTTGCTTGTCATTTACATCAACCTCAAAAATAGAGTTGGCCAGGAATGCTTACAGCTCAGTCTTGTTCTGGCCATTTCTTAGAAAGCCTAGCCAATTCTTGGGCATCAGATTCTCTGCATAAACCATCCAGTGCCACGATGAATCCTTGTCAGGGACTTCCCACTGTTTTGTTGGTAGACCACCAGATAGCATCTAATCTTGAAACACCTTCCATAAGCTGCCTTAACTTGGGATGAGACATTGGTAGCATATTCTTGGAAGTTGGTAGCCACACCAGGACGCATCACATAGACCAGAAGGGTGCCATCTATTAAAATTGCATCTGCAGGTTTTTTCCAATACATGTACTTCAGATCCATCTGGCTTAGCTTCTCAACATTTAAGTAAGTCTGCTTCTTTGTAGGTCTCATAGCTCTGTGCTTAGCTAAGGATGGCCGGAACTCATGTTTTTAATGTTTGAAAAACTCAGACATGTCAACGTGTCTTGATTGGCATCCCGTCATCCCTAGCTAAGCACAGAGCCATGTGACCTTTGACAGACTTACTTAAATGTCTAGAAACTGGTCCTTTCATCCCAAGTAAAGGTAGTTTTGGAAGGTGTTACTAGATGTTGTCTGGAATGTTTACCTACAAAACAGTGAGAAGTCCCTAACAAGGATTCATCGTGGCACTGGTGCTAGAAGGATAGTTTATGCAGAGAATGTGATGGCTAAGAATTGCCCAGCTTTTCTAACAATCAACGAAACAAGACTAGGCTGTTTGCATTCCTGGCCAACTCTATGTCTGAGTTTGATGTTAATGACAAGCAAATGATAAGTACTTCTATTGGAGAATCTATTCAGTGCTTTCCTCAATTGCCAGATACAGCAATGATTGGACCTTGTACTCATGAAGAAACTGAAACGAGACTCTTGGTTCATTTAAAACATGACCTCAGAGGGTAAACACTTCACAATCAGAAGTTGAGATTGCAGGTATTAAATTATGTTATATTAGCTTCACCATTCTTTGGCCATAGCAAAAAATCTGCCTTCAAGCTATGGAATGTGCTCATTGAAGTTACTCCAGCTTTTTTACAAGTGATAGAAATGGTTACAACAAACCTTGCTTTGTCAGTTCAGGCCATTCAGTCCCTAGAACACTTTACTGTGTTCTATTATATGATCGAACCAAAAACCAGATAGATATCAATACAGCACAAATGTTCTGTGATGGCCATATAGTAGAATATCACCAACAAAAGGAGGCCTTGCTCAGAAAATCTTAAGAACTTGCTAGCCAAGGTGGTATTGTTTGAGGGCAACTGTACAATCTCCATCTAAAATTGGTATAGGAGTTCACAACATGGGGCTGGAAGTATGACATGTCTCTACTGGTGCCACTATTGACATCCCTTCCTCAAGCAGCCAAGGCATGCCAAGCATTGGTCAAGTATGGGTGCAAGGTGAAATGTGGTCCTGGGTGCACACATTACAAAAATGGATAAGTATCCACTGCTATGTGCAAATGCCATGGTCAATGCAAATCATTAGACAAAAAAAGTAGCGGACATAAAATTGAGCCTTGTGGGACTCCAGTTTTCATACAAAAATGATCCAATGAATTTAAATGCATATGAACATCTAATAGGTACTATTATTAGTCATGTTTGATCAGTATACAACTATTTTGACTTATTAAATTACAACTTTAGTTAATTTTTATGATTTTTCAATACATTGTGGCGGCCATCTTGGATTTTTGGTGAAAAAGTCAATGGATTGCTTGGTGCCACTTCAGGTTCTCAAAAGGATGGTATGAAGTTTTGAAATCCACCTTAAGATTGCTTCTATATATTTTTGAAATATTCTGTAAACTTATCTCCTATTCAAACCCGACTATGAGGTATTAAGTCATCAATATGAATATAGCCTAAGCTTGCATGTCTGTGTTCGAGTGAAATTTGGAAGAAATGAAACATGACTTCAGATTGTCATGGTAAAAAGTTTGGCCGCTATACAGGAATATATAGCCGACGTTCAGCTCCATTGACTTTAATACAAATGCTTCGCTATACTAAATAGTGTGATCTTTCATACCATCAGTCTAGGTTTGAAAAAAAGTAGCAAATCCAACTGTACCGAACAAAATTTTTTTTTTAAACCGGTGCCACAAAAAACGGAGACCATAAGAATATGTCAAGACTTTTTGGTGGTGACATAAAAACCAACAATAGTTATGTCTTATACCTAGTAAAAAACACCCACGACGGAAGTTCTATGCGCATAAGACATCAGGTTTTAAACTGAAATCCCAAGACTGGTATTTTATTTGAGTTAAAACAAACAGATGGACAAGTTGTTATCTATGTCATATATATTACCTAATAATATAAGGCAGCATTAAGTTTTAGATTCACTGTTTTGTATCAATTTCTGTTTAAAAACCATACCAAATGATATGTTATTGGCCTATGGAAAAAAGGAAAAATCGAGAAAGTTTTATACATCTATTGTGCTGCCATCTTACTGTCTGTGAGAAAAAATTAGCATATTATACTAAGAACAGTAAGAACAGTGTTTTTTTGTGATTTCCTTTTGTAAAATGAATTCCTGATTTTGTCAAAACTGACCTTATGCAATCTAGGTAATTGGGTCAGTTTTGTCAAAAGCTGGGTAACTCTGTTATTTTCAATGGCCATTACAACCTACATACCTTCATGTATAGAGAGCTCTGGATGCTTTCTGAACAATTGTTCGATGCTGCATATCACATGTACATACTGGTACTCAACCTTCTGATGATGTAACACAAAGTCGCTGTCATAGAGGGAAAGTGTGTAGAGGAATGTGATACCTTGCCGGAGGAGGTTAAAAACTGCATTGGATGGAGCTTCATTGTGCTGTTTTACTTGACGATTCATCATTAGAACTATGGCTTTAACAACCTAAAATAATATGGACCACAGACAATCAAGACCCGTGCCTTTAGGGGAGGCATCAAAAGGTCGATGTCAGATCCATAACTAAATAAATCTAGTTCTGAGTTTGACCCTCCTCTCCCCCCAAAAAAACTAAATACCTCCCCCTAACTAGATTTATTTAGTTTTTGATCCAACATTGATCGTTTGATGCCGTCCCTTAAATCCATTACATCAAAAGATTAAAAGGAAAGGTCTACTTTAACAGAACTGAATTCAAAATTGAGAATGTCATATTATAATGGACATGTGGATTATTCATCAGTATCAGTTCCAGGCAAAAATTATTTTTGCAAACAGTTCCAAAAGTTGTCCAACAACAGGGTTCCAAAAAATATATCAAAATCCAGAAAAATAGTCCTCCATAAAGTTAGGTTCAAGCTTCAACTTAACATCCCTTTTTAGGCCTTTATGCCCCAGTTAGATAACTATTATTTAGTCATCCAGTGTTGAGGGATCCAAGCTTAACAATTCTGCAATAGCCAAACAAGCATATAAACTTTCACTCAATAGACTGATAGACTTTTACATTTACCTACTTTAGCTAGAGAAACTTTTCTGACTTTTCCATGTCTCTTTTGTCATTTCTAAAATCTTAAGTTTTTGGACTTTTCCGTGTTTTCTTACCATTTCTAAAATCTATGATATTTTTGGATGTGGTTTCAAAATAACCTGCAATTTCCAAGAACACACTAGGCTTACTTCAAAATATTTGAATTATTTTTACCTCAGAGCCGCAGCAATGAGGCTGAAGTAGTGCACCATGACCTTGTGTGTGACTGGCGACCACTGTACTGAGGAACGAAAGCACCTGGAAACAAACACAATTTTATTCTATGGAATTCAGTAACATTTACCCCTTTAGTGTGAAATTTTAGTAAATACATTAGACAATTCTGCAATAGCCAAACAAGCATATTAACTTTCACTCGATAGACTGATAGAGTTTTACATTCACCTATTTTAGCTAAAGAAAATTTTCTGACTTTTCCATGTATCTTTTGCCATTTCTAAAATCTATGATATTTTTGAATGTAATTTTAAATCAACCTGCAATTTCCAAGAACACCACTAGGCTAACTTCAAAATGTTTGAATTATTGCACAGAAACTTGGCATGTCACACAATGCGAGTAGACCTTTGAAAATAAAGACAACAACTTAGATAACTGCAATAAAATAAACAACTGAAACCTTTGGTGAATACAGCTATCCAATGATAAAAAACCATAAAGATCTTCTCTATCTTCTCTCAGTTCAAATAATTCAAGCTAGACCCTATTATTAGCAACTCCTGTGGCAACAGAATATTTTTTTTGTTTCCACTACAAGACAATGATTATTAATTCCTTTTGTTAAGATGAGAGTGGTTTCCTCTAATCCTTTGATCAGTTTTCCAGAATATTTTCAGAATTTTGATTTTCAGCAAAACTGACAAACTTTCTGAAAGAATTATAAATAGTCAGCCATTCCTCTGTAGTTTTTTGGTTTCAGCAGCCTTATTTCTGAATGAATGACCTTCACAATATTTTTAGTTGTCTCATTTTTTATCAGCAGAAATATTCAGCTGAATTCCATGGAATTGGGCATTTTTATGTCCTTTATTCATTAGTTTCAGATGAAAAATGTATCATTTTAAGTGGGATGAATGATATCAAATAATTACCTGTGCAAAGAGAGGAGTGGCTTGGCCAGGGAGTAGAGAAGGCATGCCTTCACAGCATAGATTGTACACAGCTGCTAACACACATTCATCTACAAGATATATCAATGCATTCAACAGGCCATTTCTCACAAATCTTGTCGATAAAGATTCTTGAACAATCATCTTCTAGGTAGCATGTTTTATAGTTTCAGCTTGACCATGCTCACAAATTAGGTATGGTCATTTGTGATATTTCTAAGACAATGACCCTGAAAAAATTCGATCTCATTCAACTGCCGATTCTTCCATCCAGAAATTAGTTTGATGTAAATCATTCCTAAATGAATGACGCACACTTTGACAGAAATAACTACATGTAAATTTTGAAGATATAAAAAATCAAAAGCGTTACATCCTTCCATCAAAACAAACAAGATATAAACATGACAATATATCACCACCTGCAAAATGCCGGTATGGCTATAGCTATGTCACCACTGTTTGCTGATGACATGAAAAAATTATTCAAATTACTCTGGATTCCTTACCTTGCTTTCTACAGAATAGTGCAAGAATGCCAGGGTCAGCTGCTAGTACTTCCAGAAGTTGAAGTACCTTCAGTATAATAGATATATTGTTGTCAGTCAGTAGACACTTGTAGAGAGCACCCTGGGAGATCAATGGTTGGAATCTAGAAACAAGAATATGAATAGGAGAAATATAATGCCAACATCAATATCATATTCATCACACAAGCAGATCCCCAATCTGTACATTTCATGTTTGATTATAAACACGAGAATATACATGAGAAGTGTAACCCGTTTACTGTACATTTGATGTTGAAATATATATGAATAAATAAAAAAAATATATATATATACAGCCAGAATGCATGGTTCAACACTTAGCACCTCTAAAAGAAATAGTATCTTTTTTTCAATATTGTTCTAACAAAGTCTCTCATTGGAGCCAATAATCAGTCAATTACTCCAATTCACTCATTTTCATAGATTTTGGAAATTCTTGTTTTGTTCATGTACAGTTAATCATTTCAACTTACTTGAAACATTGTTTTATGGAACATGTAGATGCTAGCTTTGTCAAAATCTGTAGGACCTGCTCAAGGATAAGATTATTGCTTGATTGTCCCTAAAATCAAACAAGAAAGTACATTTTATATACAGCTTTACATTACATTCTGTGAATGACCATGGGTATTGTGTAGTACTTAATCAATGTATGTCAAAGAGTACAGAATGGAGTACAGGATTTCTAAATAACATAGACTATATTCGACGAAAATCAGGATGGATCCTTCTCATAGTCGACATATGTTAATCTGAAAGAATATAGGAATGATACTTACATTAAGGCAAACAGGAACAGCCAACTTCATAAGAACATTTAGTATGGATGCTGACTGATTGTTAGATGGTGTTGATGTCTTCATGTAGTGACTGGATGTTGCAGATGTGCTTGCAAGGGTGCTGCTACAGCTAGGACCAGATGTTGGCTAAAATAAGATACATGTAGTTGCATTAAGGTGGGTCTGTTAGAACAACTTGTCTGGGTAGGATGTGCCAGAGGTTCAAGTTATTATATACCAGATTTTAATCAGTACACAAGCATTTCTAAAGCATTTCAGAATAAAGGTAAAAAAAATAACAGTGGTAGTTGGAAGTCCTAAGAGAAGTTATTAAACACTTGCCAATATATTTACTTACTATATAAGTAAGCGAGTATATCATTGAGAGATGCCAGTTGAAACACAATTCTTACCTCTTCAAGACATGATGCAGAAGAAATATTTATAGCAGAGATCATACTCAGCTCCTCCGCTTTTATATCATTGGCTACTTTATTGTTCATAATGACATGTCTCGTTGCTTCACGGTAATTTACCAATTTATGAAGGGTTTCCAATGCCCCCAGTGTCTTTATTTCTATACTGACAGTAACAGAGTTACCACCTGTTCCAATCCTCTCTGGAGATGAATTCACACTTAGGCTTTTGCTTAAACTTTTGCTTAAACTTTTACTAGACGAAGCATTTCTGGTTAATGTTTTTGTCATATCTCCCTGAGTGTTATGTATTATGTCCAGATAGCTTGTTAAACAGTCTAGTATTGCGGGTAAAAGCTTTAACGAGGGCTCTGGTTGGTCTAGTGACTCTTTGCCCATGATTGGTGTTTTTTGAAGTAAATCGCTCAATGACTGCATGGCAAGGGACTGGTGCCATGGGGTGATTACTGGCTCCTCTGTTTGTAAGCATGTGTTAGGTGGACTAGCCCTGCCATGTACTCTGGAAATCAAATTTAATAAAAACAGAATTATTTTGTTCATGTACAGGGTGACCCAAAAAAATGCAACCCTCCATTTCTTCAATATTTTTCTTAAATGGAGGTAAATTGCTCTGAGATTTGGCACACAAGAACTTCATTCAATGTGGCATCCTCTGGCAAAGTTTCAATAACGATAGTCTTATATTGATCGAGTTATGGTTGTTTCAAAATATGCTCCATATATCGTCAATTTCGCTGAAAACAAACTTGCAATGTTCAAGGAAAACTGTTCATAACATGGATGCATTCTTCCCCATGGGTATGGCTCAAATTTTTGCAGGAATGCTTGTTGGAGTTCTGCAATTGCAGTAGGGTTATTTTCATACACATTATCCTTTAAATAACCCCATATATAGAAGTCAGGGGCATTGAGATCAAGATTGTGGGATGACCATGGGTTCTCCATCCTAGGAGAGATAATTTCATCATAGAAATGACTAGTGAGCCAGGCTATGCTATCATAAGAAGTGTGAGGAGTAGCCCCATCCTTCTAGAATCACTGTTCTTGTCTATTGAAGCCTGTATGTCATTCTAGAACTGCCTAGAACTCCCTGGGAATGCCAATATTGCGCTGTGTGTTAACAGTAACAGTGTTGCCATTATCAACCTCAAACCAAAAGGGGCTGATGATTTCATGTTTGAAAATTGGCAGCCCAAGCTGTGCATTTAACAGAATGAAGGGGCCTTTGAAGCACTTCATCTTGAATTTGTGATCCCAGAACACATTATTTCTTGAGTTTACATGTTCAGAAAGAAGGGAATGTGATTCTTCCGAAAACCTAACATTGGAAATGGACGACATTTGGAGCATATTTTGGAATGACCATAACTCTATCAATATAAGACTCTGATTATTGAAACTTTGCCAGAGGATCCCACATTGAATGAAGTCCGTGTGTGCCAAAATTCAGAGCAATTCACCTCCATTTAAGAAAAAATATTGAAGAAATGGAGGGTTGCATTTTTTTGGGTCACCCTGTATTTGATATTTTAGCGCTTTGAGCTGTTTAAGAGTCAAATGAACATCTCATTTAAATGCTTTGATTTAGGGATGTTGAATGGATATATCTGAACTGTTATTCTCCTAGCTTCCGGCACAGTCCTATATTCTATGGATGGGAAGGTAAACAAGTTGGGCAATTGCCCCATCATTTCTACTGACAATGAAAAAAGGATTGTTTTGTGAAAAGGAGTAGCCTATCTTAAATTTTTAGGAATATTTAGTACAAAAAATTGCCAGGGTCCTTTTAATTATGTTGATTTCATGAAAAATGTGAATTCTTCATCGGTATTTTCATTTTTTCAAACTTACGACTTTGGTTTTCTTGGTGATAATGCTTCAATTGTTGATTCTTGCTCAATGGAGAATGCTCCATGCTGGTCTGGCTGGCCCAATTGAGGTTGAAGTATCTGCAGTAAACCACCAGGAGTATCCTTCTCTTTATGTTCTAACAATTTGCCAACAAGTTGAGCATCTGTAACTTTACCTAATAAGTATTAGAGATACCAGTAGCAGTTAGTGTATAAACTAGGGCGTTATGGCATGTACAGATATTTATAAAATTCACAAACTATGGTAACTTAGACTATTATGACATACATGTAGTGGCTACTATTCCTACATGCCCTCCTACTATGGAAAAACATGCCCTCAAAATATCTAAACTACTGTATTGCATAATTCCTCAAATCTTTAAAACTGTATGTAGAATTCACATGTTGATACATTTTCATTGTTGATTTACCTAGTGTAGAATTACGACTGAGAATGCATCTTCTTGATTTGAGTTTGGCACCAGTGTTGCTGGGATGTTCCACAGTCTTGGCAGGGGAAACTAAAATGAAAATAAACTAGTAGATATAATATTAAGGTTTAACTGTTTTAAATGATTTTGAGGAGGTCTACATGGTAATAAGATTAAGGTTACATTTAACCTCACATTCTTATACAGTAGAATTAATAATGTCAGGTTTATACTATTGGGGTATATACCCCCCTCCTAGGAAATGAGAAAATGAAAAGGGATAAAAAATGAAGAACATATTTGAAATTAAGAGAACACTCCACATGCAATGTCTTTCAATGAACAATGCAATTGTTCAAAAGCTTTACCTTTTGTAACTGTTTTGGTAGGAGTTTTCTGAGCAGTCTTGTTTGGAAGGGCTGAGAGTGTAGGAGCTTTTGAGCTAAATACAGGTGATCTCTCGTCAGCCATGAACTGTTCTTTGGTGATAAATCCATGTTTTGGCGTTTGAGGGGATCGCTCATTCAGACTTTGTTTTGTACTCGACTTCACTCTTGATGGGCTGATCAAGTGACTTTTTTTATTTGCACTTTCAATATTGTTGTTTACCTTTTCTAGTGTTTTAACTTTTTCTTCTAATCCTTTGAACATTGACTGTGTTTCTAAAATTTCTCGTTCTTTGAACTGAAGTTGAGTTTTCAAACGGTCCACTTCTTTTTCCAAACCCTTTTCTCTGTTATTTTGGTCCTGTGCTTGTTTCTGTATTTGATGTAGTTGTAACTGCTTCTGCTTTGAAAGTTCGCTGGACTTTTGTGCCAATGACTCTTTGAGCATTTTGATGTGGCCATCTTTGTTGAATTGTTCAGTCCGGATACGTTTGAACTGAAAATATTTAATAGAGCAGTGATAGTTAGTACAGTGTTATTACAATTATCTTTGGATTCATATACCGAATAGTGCTGAACTCATGTGAATTACTGATTTATTTGTAGTGTTGTATTATTGTACATATTGTTCAAATAAACTTTCTGACATATATTTTATGTATCAATGTTTGCAAAAAATCATTGGTAATTGTACTTACATGTACTTAAAATATGCTGACTGTACATGTATGTAACTGTTCTTGAAAAACTGAATTTTTATAGAAATTTATCACTTGGAAAATATTTGTTTAATTAAGAGATTTTTTAAAAGGTACTGCTAAACCAACCTCTTTTTTATATTTCTCCAATTCAAGCTCAATTTGTTTTATTGAGTTTGTTTCAGATTTAATGTTGCCAGTTTTTGACTGGCTTATTGGTAAATCAGGAGATTCACTTCTACCGTTTGCAGTCATCACACAACTTTGACTCGGTGGTCTCAACTCCGGCATGCCATACTTTGGAATTCTAGGTTTCTTTTGCTCAGGTTTGATAATGCTTGTAGAAGGATTATTCAACCCCAGGGGTACTTTAACATTACTTTGAACAAGGTGATTTGGTTTGTTCGCTTTTGCATAGTTTGTTTGTGGAATGTTGGTAGAATTCTGTGGAACCTTATATTGAAATTTGTTTGTTATGGGCTGTTGAATTTTTGGTTCTTGTGTTGCCTGGGATGCCATGAAATCAACCTCTTGTAACTGATCTTCAGTGAAATCATCATCATCTTCCCCCCACATCTCATCATCAAAGTCATTAGTTTTGCGCTTTTTGTCTGGCGGTTCAGACATAGGATGTGTAAACGACATGTTACTCCGCCTGCTTCTATCCTTGTTAATCACCAATTCCTGCTTGAATTGTACTTTCACTTTCGATTTTGACGAAAATGTGCTGTCACTTTTTGAAGAAATATTTGTAAACAATGGATTGCAACTCATTTGTTTCGGATAACCAACATTAATTTTACATTCCTCTGGTAGATATATTCATTGTATATTTGTACTTTTACCTATACGTCTATACTACGAATAGTATTGAGAATATCATTAATAACGTGAAAACTTTTGAACTTTTCGCAAAAATTGCCGCCATCTTTTTCAATTGCATGATGGGAAAATGAAACAGATTTCTAAAAAATCACTCTGAACTCAACAACAACACATTGAAAATTAGAAATACTCATTATTATTGCTAAATCAATATATGTTTTGTATAAACTGAGGAATAAACTCCTTGATATATTGAAAAATTAAGTCTCCAACTGGCGAGAATCTTGGCGGTGAACAAAATGGCATCCCTTTTTCGGATCGCTGCCAATCAATGTCGAAGTTTAGGGACACATTTAGTGAAGAAGGAGGTCTTATTACAACCTAGATGCTTAATATCTACTTCTAAGAAAAATAAGGATGCGTCTGCAGCTACAATAGAACCACGTACTGAGCAAACTGCTTCAGAAACAGCTGCCAAAGAGAAGGAGGATTTTGATCCGGTGATTTTTATTTTTCAGACAGTTTATTTTTTTGTAAAAAATAATAGGCAATAGCAATAACTGGCAATAGATGTCATGTGTAGAGTAAAACTTGATCATTTTCGTTCTTAACTTTTTGAAGTGTTATCAGCAATTGTACATCTCAAAATGCGTGTCCAACCAAATCTGGAAAGGGAGCAACTGAACCAGAAGATCCGTCGAACTCTAGACGTATGGGGTTACTTTGTCATGGGGCTACTTCGACCATGGAGTTATTTCGACCATTGCCGTTAATTCAAATTGGAGAATTCGTTTATTTTAAAAATTTTCAAAAAACAAACATGACGTACTACGTAAATCAGAAATATAAGTCAATTTCTAAATAGCCGGCCCCTTGGTCGAAATAGCCCCATGACAAAGTAACCCCATACGTTGCAGTTCGACGGATCTCCCATACATGTAATTGGGCATTGTAAGACCCTTTACAAGGTATTGTAAGACCCTTTAGTTTACAATATACATCACTGTATCCATATAATGATGTGTCTAATTTGTAGTGGAGCAACGATTGACTCGTGACTGATCCGACTCGAATTGAAAAAAAATATGAAGAAAATGTGATTTACCCACTTTTCAACCGCAATTTATGTAAAAAGCACATCCAATGTACAACATTTCTGTATAATGTTTAGCAATGATGCCTTCCTTAATATATAGCATTATAGTTTGACACCTTAAGTTTGGAATAATAAATCAAATAAAGTAAGTAGGTCAAACCAATTAGCGTAAATTGCTAATTTTTTTACTTTTCAATGCAAAACAAGAACATATAAAGTGTATTGAGTTATTCTATTTGAATAATTTGATGAGTATGTTGGAGTTATTTAAGGTAGGTAGAGCCGAGAACACTTGAAAACATTATTTCCGGAAGTGAAAGTTTGTAACTTTCCGAAAGTTTTTCTGAACTTTTTTCCAAAATCATTCATTTTATTCGCGAATAAATCGAGTGTTCAAGAGCCTCTACTCGAGTAGGATAATTCACACGAGTCCCACCACTACTGATTTGAAGTTTCTTAAATGAAGTCATAAAACAAAAAATATTGAAACTGTCCGACAATACCCCTGGCACACTTTAATAATTTGGCAGATCTACCAAATTAAAATGACCGCCAAATTAAGTATAAGTACAGTAGCTCTGGAAAATCAGTTCATTATCAGTAACAGTATGCATGTGTGCCACTTGTCATCTCAGTCCCATATCATTCATCTCAGTACTCATATGATATCCACCATCTCAGTTTTATTAAAGCGCTTAATTAACCAATCAGACAAAACCATCGGTATGTAATATGGTATATTTTTATGTGTTTTCAGGTATAGAGTATAGTAGATTATTCTTCCCAGTGGCCTTATACTAACGCTTGTGGTGGTGGTTTGTTTTACAGAATATAGCAGCTATACCTTGAGATACGCAACAAATTGCACGATTTATAGCATGTGATCAGTGTTGCTTGTAGATGTAGTTTTGTAACATTAACTGATTTGCCTAGTGTAATAATCAAAGTGTGTATTAACAGTGTCCAGTATTCACACGTGAACTCAACTCCCGAATGAGTATTGGTGATTTATAGAAAGACATCGGTACAGAGTATCCCCATATACATTGACTATTAGGTTGTTATAAGATTAATTGATTGGCACTAGTAGTTAAAGTGCTTCAGTAGAATTCATAGTGTATATTAACAGTGTTTAGTATTCACACGGGAACTGGAGACCAGAATGAGTATCAGAGATTCATAGGAAGATATCGATACAGAGTAATCCCATATTCATTGACTATTATGGTGTTATAACGTTAATTGATTGGCACGAGTAGTTATAGTGCTTCAGCAGTAGTCATAGTGTGTATTAACAGTGTTCAGTATTTACACGTGAACTGGAGACTAGAATGAGTATCAGTGATTATCGATACAGAGTATTCCCATATACATTGACTATTATGGTGTTATAGCATTAATAGATTGGCGTTAGAATAATAGTATGTCACAATTTGCTGTGATCAACAATTACAATAAGAACCAGACAGAATATGAACCAGAGCGACCATATAGGAGCCTAAGATACCAGCATACCAGCACAATATCATTATAGAGTGTAACATTATACCGTGATCATTATGATGGCATATCATTCAATGATTGACATATTGGAGTTATTATAGTGTGGTACAATAAACCGTGATCACTTGCACAGAAGGCCAGATTGAGTAGTAGATTATATGTTATATAGAAGGATTGTGCTGAGTTTAGTAGTTGAGCAAAACAAAGCCTTCATTGTACCGGAGCGACGATAAGAGTTACCGTTACCAGCAAACATTAGAATATCGCTAATATTATTACAGGGTGTCCCAGTATACATTGACTGATTATTATCATTGAATCAGCAACATTCTGTCTGATAAATGCACATTTTTATGGGTCATTATGTCCAAATGAGATATTATAACTGAAAACTTACCACTAAGTAGTATCTATGCATTCATAGCATAGGGAAGTTGTTAGAACAATATTTTAAGTATGTAACCGTTATAGGTTAATGTTAGTTCATGAGTTATTAGAATATAGTTAAGTGTTAGGACTTGTAGAACAAAGAGTTAGTGAGTTAGCTAATTCAGATGAAAACACAGTGTTTCCACAGCCAGTAGGTAGTATAGGGATTCGCTGTGAGCCAGGACAAAGAGTTAGTGAGTTAGTTAATTCAGATGAAGACACCATGTTTCCACAGCCAGTAGGTAGTATAGGCTATCACTGTGAGTTGTTAGGATCACTCAGTTGATTTAGTGGTACCACAAGGTTAAGGAAGGATCTCAGATAGTTTGGGTAACCAGCGTCACAGACAAGTAGAAATAGTGAGTAACCATTACTTGTCATTATTTGGTTTCATAAATAACCGCTTTGAGAGTTCGTGGTATAACCACCCTTTTACTGTACATGTAATATATATGTATATGTTACTTTAACATTGTTTCAAAATATATTTCCATATTAAAACTACTTATATTTGTGAGTAATTACATTGGTGGCAGTAAGTATGGCAGAACCGCCCAATGACATAGATGGGGAAGTTGGTGCCAATGAGGCACTTGCAGCGGGGGATCAACCAGGCCCCGTAGTTCAGCCCCCAGCAGCACAACAGAACAGTACTACTAGAGAATACAGAAAAGCAGTCACTCCCAGAAATTTTGATTGTAAGACAACAACCTGGGATAGCTGGCTGAAACACTTTTGCAGGGTAGCAACTGCCAATAACTGGACAGAACAGACCAAAATAGTGATGCTCAGTACTACTCTGGATGGCAAGCCTCTCGAAGAGTATGAGAGGATATTAACTGAAGACGAAGATATAGATTTTAAGACACTGACAGCTGCCATTGGTACTGAGGTGCGACCTACAAGGAAAGCAGCAATGGAGACATATACTAAGATGCAACTAGGGTCTGATACACCCAAGACGTTCTATTCTAAGTTGCTTGAACAGTCCAAGTTAGTATATCCAGAGGTGTCTCAGGATGCCAGACTTATGATGATAACGACGCAGTTCATCCAGTCCATTCCAAGTAAGCTGTTGGAAGATATGTCCAAACAGAGTGATGTGCATTCCTTAGACAAAGAGGCTCTGCTGACATTGGCTACCAGGGTTTGGGAGGCAACAAAGCAAAGCAAGTCAGAGGATCAAGGATCACTTATAGGAGCGGTGGGTCCTCCAGTGGTACAACAACCTGACCAAGTTTCACAACTTCGGGAAGAATTACTTGAATTAAAGAATCTTGTTGTATCATCACTCAAGACCCAACAGTCAACATCTGAGCCCAGGCAGAGTAATGTTTCGTGTTTTCATTGTGGTAAGCCAGGGCATATAGCTCGTAATTGTTTTACTAAACAAGGAACCTCGTCAGGTGTACGATGCTATAATTGCCAAGGTATAGGCCACATGGCTAAGGCTTGTCCATCCCCTAGTAATAGACAGAGATCGAACCAGACAGGAACTACAGATGGGAAAGATTCGTCCTCCAACAGACCAGTTAGCGGCTCCTCGAATAATGAGGTTGCTGAGATAAAAGGATCTTCTGGTCTCATGGTAACAGTAGGAGTTGGAAACCGAGAAGGGGATGTGCAGCGTCCAATGCAATGGCTAATTGACACAGGTGCCAAAATCTCAGTTATCGACATGAATACCTACAAACAACATCTTGAAGACATTGAGTTGAGGTCACAACCTGAGTCTTTTACATGTGTTTCAGCAGATGGCACAGGTATCAAAGTAGCAGGACAAGTTCAGCTAACAATAACTATTGGTTCCAGGGTTCTACCCTTGCTCACGACAGTTATCCAGGGCTCAACCAAGACAGCCTTGCTTGGACGTGATGTCTTGGATCAATTTGATACATGGTCAGTGTCAAAAAAGAATAGCATTATCAGGCTTGATGATGAGTCATTGAAATTCAACCCAATATCTGAGGATAGGAATGCAGTGTGTAAAATCACCCTGGCTCGAGATGTCATCCTACCTGGGCAAAGTGAAGCATGGGTGGAAGCTAGGTTACCAATGCGTTTGAACTCCATATCTGGGTTGTTTACCCCAAGCACTAAATTACTGTCTCGGAAACATGTAGTAGCGGCTAATGGGCTTTGCCGAGCAGATGTGTTGGGGAAATCAGTTCAAGTTAGAGTGCTTAACCCAGAGACATCTCCAAGACGACTTTATAAAGGCACCCACATGGGGGTGTTTGACACGACAACTATAGGTGAATATGATGCGGTACCTGATCCCTTTGGAAAGGATGGTAATGTTGCCCCAATCAATGAGGTGGGTGCAACCCCACTGACATCAAAGATATTACCGAAAGATCCTTCAATGTTTTTGGAGGCCTTGGCAAGATGGAGAGCAGATGTACACCATTTAGACTCAGCACAATCGGACAGACTGCTTCGCCTTCTTCAAGATTATAGGTGTGTGTTTTC